GCTTCTGTAGTGAAGAGATGTAATGGTTCGACTCTGATGTGAGAGGGGCTACTGATGTATTGGTAAAACTGATGTGAGCGGAAGCATCTGATGTAAAGGTGGGAACCCTACATCATTGTTTTGCTTGGGGTCCCCTAAAATCCATACCCGTCCCCTAAGTAGGATATGAGTCTGGTATAGATTTTGGGAAGGGAGGACCACATATCTTTTTTAAACTTTTTGCATTTTAGAATGTGGTGTCCCAAGAATTTGCATAACTTGAAAGGGTGCCGTGACTGATGAAAGGTTGAGAAACACTGGTCTAAAAGAGGGATGGTGACACGGCTGCAGGCTGTGAGCAGCGGAGCCACCCGATTTAGTGTTGCAGCAATATCTAAACAGACTAGAGTGGCTGAGTTTAGGTATTTATGATACCATCTATGTATTTGGCCATCTCCCTACTGTTCTGTACCCCCATCCACTAAACACCCCTAACCCTGATGCTTGTTGTAAATAATAATTATTATACAGGATTTATATAGCGCCAACAGTTTGCGCAGCGCTTTACAAAACTGAGGGAGACAATACAATTAACAATACAATTTCAGTACAGGAAGTAGGAGGGCCATGCCCATGAGAGCTTACAATCTAGTAGGAATAATAAATGTCGCTCCGGAACCGTGTCCGTCTCTCCTGCACGTCATGATGCCGGTTCAGGTTGAACTGAGGCAAATCTCCGCATTCTATTTCATGCAACCTTTAATTTTGTAGGAATCCTGACCTCATCCATATTGCGCCACTCCCTTGAAAAAGACATATTTTCGGGCTGACTCACAGACGTGTCCACACCCCACTTTATAAATATATATATAAACGCGGGGTCGCCACACAAGATAAGTAGATCGCTATGTCATAATGATGGGCTTGCTGGCTGTGCCGAAACATTGCTTGACATTGTCTCCAGCGAGATTCCATCTGACAGGTTTGTCCCGTCTCCATCAGCTGCCAGGCAGAGCGGCTGGAGATGAGTGAGCCGAGCCGTATCGGGGAACGAGACCTGTAATCATACACAATTTACCGGACTGAAGTCAATATCTTCATGGCTTCCATCCAAAGCTCACTGTCCTTTGACGAATATCCCTCTTCTATAGAATATCTGGTACTTAGAGAGGCGATGAGAGCTTCAGCTAGTCAGAAGAGCTTGTTTTCTCACGGAGAGATTTGCCAGCTTGTAGGGAAATATTCCCGCAAGTGTATCCGATCCTTTATGATCCTTCCCAAGTTTAATCTGCTTATATTTTGTCTTCACTGGTTCCTTTCTCCTCTCCTTCCTTCCCCATCATATGTTAAGAACAAATGTACATAAAAAGTTTCGGTTTTCATTACATCTTATTTTCGATCTAGTGATGTCATCATTGGGTCTGTGTGCTTCTCCATGCAATGCAAGCAGATCGTGGCTGGTGGGAGGGGCCAGCAGGATGCTGTACATAGCATCCTGAAACCATCACAGCACCCTGCCTCAGGGTGCTTTGATGGGTGGATATCAGTTTGTAGAAGCAGGCATGCTTGCATGCCTACCACCCTAAGCCCACATGTGATGCTGAGCCCCCATGCAGTGCCGGATTTCCCACAAGGCCAACCATCGCCCGGCCTCAGGGCAGCAGGGAGTAGAGGGGCAGCAGGGGTTTGGAATTGCTATCTCTGAAAACCCGGGACATGCAGTTCCGGGCTAAATGTACAGCGTGCAAGAAGGGCTAAATGTACAGCGGGGAAGCCGCCGCTTGTTTTGTACAAGTAATCTCGCCGATGTTGCCGAGATCACCACTTGTATGCAACCTGCAGGACTTCCATTCTCCATTGGGGGGGGGGTGGGATTTGGTGGGTAGGCGGGGCGCATTGAGGAACCTGGCCTTGGGGCAGCAGAGAAAGTAAATCCGGCCCTGCCCCCCATGATTAAAAGATATGAACTCTAATGAATGAAAGGGGCGGGCCATGGAAAGTCAGGCTTATGGGTAGGAACGGCTTAGATGAAGCTGGGCTTCCTTTTTTTCTGGACGGTAGAGGGGAATCCTGATTTGACTGTAAAGGTCCTCGTTGTTTATATGAGCCAATATGCTTAGAAACCAGTTCATTTCCATGTTTTTGCCTTGTGACCTACAAGTGCTTTGTACATAGTACCCGTACTGGCATTGAACTCAAGATCCCAGCTCTGCAAATTATGGGCGCGCCTGTTTTCATAGGATGCTGTAGCCAGCAATGATCTGGCAGAGCGAGGTGCTCATCAGGGGAGATGTGACCAGGCCCGCTCGCTCGGGATACATGTCACACTGACAGCACTGAGTCAGCCATGTTTGTAAACACAGCTGAGTCTTGACAGGCTGACTAATCGACATTGTGCCGAATAAACACCTCCGGCTGACTCCACTGCACCGGAGAGCTTCAATTCACATTATTCTTTTATCAAATGACTTTATTCCCCCCAAAATTTGGCTTCCGCAGCTAATAAAGGGTACTAGAGAGGCCACAAGTGTATGTAGTATTTCTACCATGCGGTACTTATTTTTGCGCACGCCATCCTGCAAATTTGCTGCTCCATCTTTGTTACTGATGTGTAGAGAGAGCAGGTCCTTATATCCTGAGATGATGTTGTTAGTACATTATGCTAGGAGTTCAGACTTTACTGGTTGTATACTTGTTCCCGGTCAATGTGTAGCCAGTAGTGACACCCAGTTTGCCCGAGCCCATGCACAACTGTCAGTGACACCCCCCTCCCAGCCTGATCAGTTACAGTCAGGGCATTCCCTGTCCCTTTGTTTTGTGTAACCACTAGGGTGGGGGGAATGCCTCGTGCACAACTAATTGGTCTAGGAGGGAGGTGCGTCAATCACAGTTTTGTGCGTGATTGGGCGAATTACAGTAAACCGGGTTTGCACCAGGCACACGCACATCACTATTAGTAAATGGGAATTATCGGTGTGATTTCAGTGCTCACTGTGTCCCAGCATTATGACTCGGTTGTCATTGACAGCTCTTGGTCACAGAGTAACGGTTGAGAACCGGTAGCATGGGCTCCTGATCACGTGATCACTGTGACAGTCAGTGACAGTGATCACATGATCAAGAAGCCCAGCAAACACCTCCACTTCTTATAAGATTTTTTTTAACAGTTAGCAAGGGTGTAAATTTTACCTTCCCCATTGATTCAAATGCAATAGCAAAATAATACATTATGCATAGTCAAAGTGATGTCATTGTGCCAAAAGTTTTCAAATGTTTTCCAAAATTTTCGGGTAAATGAAAAAACAAAAACCCCCTAACTTCAGTCTCCCTTGTAGCAAAATATATGTTTTTGCAATTCGAATGAGTAAATCACTGTAAAAGCAAACGAATGTCCCAATTACAAGCACTCTTACTTTTGATATGTAGAATATCTGCGCACAGTATTAACCAATAGCGTGTCATTTCAGTGCTCTGGGTGGTTCCTCGGCTCTTCACATCCCAGCGTTTCCCAGCGGTGGCTGTCTCATAGACTATGTTCCTCAGGTCTGCCAGCTGCTGACCAACAAGGTACGGTAACTACAGTTTGATAATGTTCCCTCTAATTGTTTGATCTAAAAGGCAAGTGAACAGTAAGATAGGGCACACACAGAGCGAATCGGACGAAATCCGCTCCGTGTGTAGCCTATCCCTTTGGCAGAAGTCAATCATTAGATCAACTTTTGCTGAAGGAACATGTTGGACAATCTTCGGCCGAACGGTGCTTGCAGCCAATCAGCTTCAATCACCAGGGCTGCAACCAACTTATCAATTATGAGAATAGTTGTCAATTTTGCACCTTGTTTGTATGTTTTAGGCCCCTTTCACACGGGCAGTACAATCAGGTTTGCCTGTCAGTTTTAGGCATCCAAATGTAAACGGACATGCGTCCATTTACATCTGTTTACCCCGACTCTGTCAAGGTTTGGGGGGGGAACAGAGTTCTGTTTTGGAAAACCTGATTGTGACAGATCGGAGGTAATCTGATGTAAATGCACACGTCTGCTTACATCCAACTCCCTATAGAGCAGTGGTTCTCAACCTGTGTAACCTCAAGACCCACATTTGTCCTTGGTCATTAAGTCGTGATCCAAGTTGCACTGCAATGGAACACAGTGTGGGTTGCTCTGCTGATATTAAGCTCCATCCAAATGTGCATGCACTTGTACAGCTTCCTTGCATACCCTGTAGAGGTCCGGGGAGCCAGATTGAGATGTCACTCCAGTCCAGGCACCTCTACAGGGTACACAAGTGAGCTGTAAGCAATGCAAGTATGGATGTAGTGCCCTCACGACCATACCCCCAGCCCACCCCACCTCAAGCTGACACTCGACACCAAGGAGCAAATTTTGAATGGCTGCTCGGCGCGAGAACTGACAGTGCTAAGCTAGGGGGAGGCTGAGGAGCCTCTCGCCTAGAAAAGTGGAAGGCACTTGGGGACCCACTGAACACGGGGTCGCGAATCACTTTTGGGCCACAACCCACCAGTTGAGAACCAAGGCTATAGCCCTTACATGGGTCCCTAGAGCTGAGTTTCGGCCTAGTTCACACCTAGGCGTTTTACAGCGCGTTCCTACGCTCTGTAAAACGCTCAACATGTGAAAACCAATGATTGCCCAGGGGCATGGTTCCCACCTGGGTGTTTTACAGCGCGTAGGAACGCGCTGCAAAACGCCCTACGCCCAAAGAAGCACAGGAGCTACTTTGGGGCGTATTTTCCGCGCGTATCCATTGGGATACAGCCAGGTAGCCCTCGGAAACGCGCGTTTTTTTTATTGCGAATCGCGGTACAAACGCACATATTTGATACGCCTAGGTGTGAACCCAGCCTTCTTCCTCCATCGCAAGATGGAGGAAAATATCAATGGACACAGATGTCACAAGAGGGACATCCATTCCATACTGCTCCAATCAGCAGAGGGTCCATTCACAGATCCCCTTCTGAAAGTGACACTAAGCTCAGTAGTTAAATCTTAAAAATGCATTCAAGTACCTTAATTTTCTATATTTATATGTATAAATTCCATTTTTATTAAACACTTTTTACAATTATAAGCATTCAAAGAAAAGGAAGCGTCAATACAACAGTGATACAGGACTGATAAAGATAACAAAAAAGAGAAATTGACATCAAAACCGGAAGTACTGTAGATCCAGGGCAGTATACTCATGTTTAGTTTACTAATCTGTATTGAGATTGTAGTCCATCACAGGAGTGAGCTTGGAGCGGTGACTACTTTACAACACGCACAGGGACCATGGGGAACAAAAGTAGCCCCCCTCCAGAAGGAAGGACAGTGTCAGCACCAATTCAGAGATGATTTGAGGCTCTACAGCCGAGTGATACACAAATAAGATACATTTTGTTAATAGTGAAGGTACTTGAATACATTCTTAAGATTTAACTCCTGAGTTTATTGTCACTTGAACAGAACACATTCTGCCTATGTGAAAGGGGCCTTGTTGAAATTGAACACAGGAGCACTTTGTATATCACTATTTTGGATGTTTATATATTTGATGTTATTATTGGTATTACACATCCAGTATGTTTTTATTTAGATATTTTAATTAGGAGAGCTGTGTTTAAGCAGTTATGGCTTTCATATATACCCGGTGGAGCATTCACAGCACCTGATTGCAGGGTGATAACACTCATTTATAACATAGTAACTTTGTAGCAAGTCACAAGACGAGAAGCTGCAGCAGGGACTGATCTGCATCAGACATTTTTTAACAAAGTCAAGAAGTACAGGCACCAGGATTGACATGATTGTTTCATCTCAGTGCTGGCATCTCAGTGCCGGAAGTAGATGGTGAGATGCCTGAACAAAGATTGCTCTGTCCTTCTGGAGAGAAAAGCAAATGAAGGAACTGTCAGGGGGAGTCCTGAGAGCTAATAAATACCTGGAAGTGTAACTACTAGGGATACACTGATACCAGTTTTTCGTTATCCATTATGAGTACTGTTATTTGTTTTTCGGTACTCACTGATACCGAAAGTCCCATTAAAGGAGAACTATGGGGTCAGTGTTTTTCCCCATAGTTCTCCTTAGGGTATAGAACTATGAGCTGAGTGGAAATCACTCATCTCATAGTTCTCCTTTAAGGAAGCCGGGCGGCCTGTAATGCCTCACTGCCCGGCTTCCTGATTAGCTGGGAAGCCGTCTCCATCCTCCTTCGTCATCAGGTGACGAGGAAGCATGGAGCCACCTTTCTGGCCAATTAGGAAGCCGGGCGGGGGGGCGGTACT